GATAGTGCCGTGGATACGTATGGCAACCAGAAAATTTTGAAAAATTAGGGAATGAAGACTGCCGTGTTGAATAATGTTCCAGACGTGGAAAATATAGGCGTCGTTTTTGTTTGTTGGTTTGTTTGGAAAATAGTGAAGCAGTCTGGAAATTTTTCCGGACGACGCTGAGCGGATTTTATTTTTTTCAAAGAAACGGAATTAAATTAATTTCCATTTGCCATGATCATGACTTTATTTTTCCGACTGTCTTTCACTCACTCATGTAAGGTCACGTGTAAAATGCGTGCAAAGACTGCGTCAAAAGATTGTAGATTCTTTTGTTTTCGAGAAACACATTTCGCGAGTTGAATACTTGAGAGGTTGGTGGGATAAAAACAAAATCGAAAAAAAAAACTGAATTCAGTACTGAACGGTACTGTACTCAGAGTAACTAAAAACCCTCAAGTTGAATTTTAAATTTAGGCTGGGGTTAGAATTTTGAAAAACCTGCTGATTACCATGTCCTTGACGAAATCTGAAGGTGAGCAAACCCTGCCATGCCTTAAAATTTAAACTATGCGAATAAAATGAAGAAAAACAATTTTTGCTGGAATGTGGATTGGAATCGAAGGCGCTGAAGGGTACTGAACTTTTTGAATCCCATTGCTGCCCAAGTCTTATGAAATCCAGGCGTGTAATTTTTTTAATAATTGTCAAGTGTCTATCGAGGGTTTGTTTTTATTATTGTTTCAATATTATTATTATTATTCCGGAAATGTTTTCAAATATTCTCTCCTTATATGAAGAACCTCATTATGCGAGGAAGGGCATATCTGGTGAGATTTTTGTGCCCGGTGCACCTTGTACGGGACCCGTTCGCACACCATGATCACTTTTCCCGCCCTTTCGCGGCACACGTTTCAACATGCATCGTGTCTCGAGTCTCTACCCATGCGGTGCCTGGAAGTCCCCCTTCAGTACTGCGTTCCCACCAGTTCGGCGGGCGTCGCTCGGCTACGCGGACGCGGACAGTCCTGAAAAAGTGTTTCTCGACCATTCGCCTCTTTTTTGTTTTTCTATTCCATACACGTGCAACAAAGGGAATGAGCAACAGCATAACTGCTGATGAGCGGACAAATTTATGTCTTGTGATGATGATGATGATGTGGAAAAATCGAGTCGAGTATACATCGAGTGATGTTAATTGGTTTGTTTGCCCTGCGCGCTGGGTTAGAATTCAGTACGCGTTTCTGAACGAGTCGTGAGAAAGAGCGTGTTTATAAATGTTAGTGAACGCTGTTTAAATGAGTGTACCGTATTTTGTTTACCTTGAGCTGCAATTTGTTGTCGCCATCAGGCTGGAATAATCGAGATGAACGCCATTCCACGCATTGAGACTCGATGGATCGGTTGGCGAACTTTATTCTGCATCTTGAATTATTAAATCACGCACTTGAAGATGCCTGGGGGGAATTTGAGCGATTGAAACATATTCCATGTGTGAGTGATGGAAATGGGATTCAGTCGGCATAACTGCTCATTTCAATTTTTGGGCGCTCTTAAAGAAGCCTTCTGAATAACGAGCACATAATTTCAATGACCAAATTCCAGTGCTGAAACCCATGTTTAAATTTTCGATTTTTTTCGAGTTATACTGAACGTGAAGTTCGACCTGAAATAATATTTGCTTGATGACAGAAAATTCCACAGATCAAGGACACAGTGTTCATTGCAGCTTGTGAACGAATCGTTCATCGAATGTTTTATGTTATTAAAATCGCATGCAGTGGTTTAGTTTAGAAAGGATCCCGAAACGGAAACGTTCCGGTTGAAGAAGTTGTTTATGGAAAATCAGGTGCAAAATTTTCCATTTATTCTCAATTTTTCGTGAATATCTATTGTCCGCCGTTAATGGATACATGTTTGATTTCAATCGGAAAGTGACTCCGAAACGTGTTCGTGCAAGCAGTATAACAACGATAAACCATTTTTTCTTCCAGTTCGGATGATATTCGTCGACTGATTGAAAAATTATTTCAATTTTTCAATGACTTGTGCAGAAAAAGCTACTCTATTCATCTGAGTACGTCACCACGAAATTTTCGAAAATATTAGAGTTTCTATAGCATGGGTGTCGTTAGCCTACGCGTGACAAAACGCCAACGATCCCTTTACCTCGATTATTTCCTCTATTGATCGTGAATGTTGGAAAATTGAGTAGTGTACAGTATTATATGGGGTCACTTCCGAGTTTAAATCAGTCTGCATCAGTAGAGTTCAGAGAAGTGACTTTACAAATTCTCAAGCATATAAGCTGCGAATCCTCGTAGAAAAATATGCATTGGTGGAAAGGATTATTCGAGATGAATGACGAGCACTCAGAAAAATCCCACCCGTATTCTAAAATCCAAGGATTATCAACGACAAGTAGTCATCAGTACTTGCATCTATGATCTTGCGTTTGAAATTTCTTGTTCTTGAGTCTTGGATAATGATCGGAAATACGATCATGGACAACTGAAGATCACGATTAAACATGGCAAACTATTGTAGCGCAGTTTCATCAAAATTCGTACAAATAATTTATAGAATGCATTTTATAGAAAAGCATCTTCCCTTTTATACACTGATAAACATCGTCAAGCGATTTCGGTTTGTATGCAGTATACTGTATTTTGTTTTCTTGAACTAAATTTTTTTCTATGATCAATGAATCAGTTCCTTATTTGTGCATTTTCTCCGTCGCCCTGAATGCAGATTTTTTATTACGACTACAAAAATATAAGAGTTATGAGCGTGTAAATTTATGAAACTTCTCAGATCGAATTTATTGCGAATTTTTCTTCCGAAACGGGTCCCCCCTCCATTTCCGGCACAAACCGACATGAACAGAGAGACAATTTTTTAGGCCCTTGGAAGTACCACAAAAGCCGTTTCCTCCATTGATTAGTGTGCCGCATGAAAAGTACTTTCCTGGGTACTTCCTGCTTGCACGCTCATTCCCCCCCTCGGACCATCGCCGCCTTTGTTCCGGGGAAAATCTTTTTACTGGTACAACGGCCCTCATTTTGGTCTTGCCAAACTCTCCCTTTGAATAAACTTCAAAATAATTATTAAGCAGCCGCAGAATTTACGGTTGCAGGTGTATGCGACGAAACGAATAATGACACGTTTCGATCACGGTAATGACGACAGATGCCTTGGCTTCTTCGAATTTACTTTTCGAGGATGTCGTGAGCCCTGGGATAATTTTTTTTTTTAAACTTGAAAAATGTGCAGTCCATTCCTGTATGACTTGAAAGCATAGCTCATGGTAAAAAAAATTACTGTACTGACATGTTGAGGGAGGTGAACAAGGAAACTAGGGGATATATGCAGTGATGCGTGCCAGAGGAACTTCGTCACACATGTGTCGGTTTTTTGTCTCTTTCTTTCTTGTGATTGTGCTGAAAAAAGATGGAAAGTGAAAAGAGAAAAAGAAACAGCTGCGTTTCTTCTTGACAACATTGTCGGTTTAGTGGCGACATTATCCTTGCAGCTGGTTAATCCCCGTCAACACTGGTAAAGTGCGCCCAGTACTGAAATGTTGTGAGTCAGAACCATCGCCATTTCTGAGCAGAGCTGGGTTCATGCGAATACTTCCGCAAATTTTCGATAATGTTTTGCTTGTCTATTAGTATACCCAGTCCAGTTCATTTTGAATCATTCTAAAAATTTAAATACTCCAAGCTTTGGTTTTAAAATATGTTTGAGAATATTCAACGACGGCAAAAGGAATGCGGAAGAGCATTCTGATACTGCTGCGAGAGTGACTAGACTGTACCTACTCGATGGGAAAAAGATAAGAATTCCAGTACTGCCATAAATCGGTTCACAATTCCAAAACTGCTTCATGGAGAAAGTCATTCTTCAAAGTCAAGATCTTCTGAAATGGCTTCAAAACTTGAAATGTCAGTACGATCTGTACTGCGATTGCGAAATATGATTTGAGTACGAAACTGCTGTGCTGAATACGGTACTTGCTTGGATGCTTTGAAGGAGTTCCGGTAAACACGCCAGCAATGAATTATGTAAATCAGTTGTCTCCATCAGAAGTATCATGCATCAACAAAGGAATTTTGAGCTTGAGTTTTGAAAAATCATCATCAATCGATTTTTGATTCACTTTCTGAATGAAGAATTTGAGAGAAAAAATGGTCAAGTCCAAGGTGAATTGGAGTAAAAATTTCCCTGTCCTGTGCTTCGTACCTTTTCTTGTCAAAAAATTGCAAGTGACAAACTCGTGCTTCCGGCGGAACGGAAGCAAACTCAATAGTCCGTGGAGAAGTTTTTCATCTTATGCTCGGTCCCTATGATTATTGAAAATCCTTCATTACTAATGTTGTCTTTGAATCAAGCGCGATCGTTTCTAGTCTTGAAGTCTTGCCAATATTCGCTCGTCCGCGTTCCAACAAATAAAATTCGAATTTTTAAAATTGTTGGGGAATGGAGGAAAAAAAACGGACACGTTTTAATGCGGACTCTTTCTAATACCTCCCAATCGTGATCGGCGTTTGTGTCAATTTTTCATCGCTCTGAACTTGGTATTTTCTGGGTTTATTATAATTTTTATTCTTGACATTAAAAAGGAAACTTTTGCGTAATCGGTATGAAAAGTAGATCGACGAGGAAGAATCCGGAAAGAGTTCAGGAAGTCATTTTCAGTAATTAAACTTATGGAAAATCAGCATTCATCAAGTGCCAAAATGAATCAAAACGGAACAGAGCATCGTCCATTGAACAGTGGCTGCGAATTTTCTTTTTCAGAACGAAGAATAAATTCACGCATTCCACGTATAGATATTATCGATTAATTCTGAGAACCCCCCATTTTTTTGTATGCAGTTTCGAGTCCGATGTTCGCGTTATCCACGATGTGTAGAAATGCGTATTTTTGGGCCATCGCTGCTGAGGTTTACAAACTGTACAATTAATAAATGATCTCCCCGAATGATGATAATATTTTCGCATTATTATTATCAATTTTTGGAATCAAGATCAGATGTGCCATTGCCGCGTAGCTCAAGTGCCTTCATCCTCGACGACAACAGCAGTGTCGACGATCGAGCCAGTCTCTTCTGTGATAGTTGACCGCCACGACAACGTCAGTGTCGCAGCTCGTCGTCGGCAATGGACCCCTGGAACGAGCCCGCGAGTGACTCGGCAGCTGGCAAAGTGTCGACGCGCAGCCCGGAATGCGCCCGGTGTCGCAATCACGGATCCGTGAACAAGATCAAGGGTCACAAGAATTATTGCGAACACAGGTTTTGCCCGTGTGTCCGGTGTGAGCAGACTGTGGATAGGCAACGGGTCATGGCCAAGCAGATCTCGCGACGACGGGCTGCCACAGCTGCCTTGAAGTAGGTACCAGTTAAATCCGTATACAGTATTTGCAGTACTCGCGTACCATCACGTGCACCTTTTTTCTCTCTCGAATTTTCAGAGAGGGGGAAAGGGAAAGAGGAGGGCGTGTGTGTCACTCATGGGTGGTTAAAGTAAATATTTTTCAAATAGTTTTCGAAAATTAGGTGTGCGTTATAATTTATGTTCATGAGGAATTTTGCACCAAGTTCCACAGGAAAAAGTATTTTAATGGAAACAATTGGCAGTTGATCAAGTGAAAAAAATGTCTAAATTACAATTTTGGTGTTCTTATTTTTAAAAAATTGTGTCTCTGAAAATGGGGTGCACGTCTTACTGGGGGAAACAATTTTATCACAATTTTCAACTGAATCAAGATCGGACACCTGAGTGCGATTTTTACTCGAGGGCTGATGTTACTCGAGTAAATACGGTACAATAGTTAAAATCACACCCAAATTGAAGAAGGAAAAATGCCGGAGTCGTACTTGCTGTACTGGAGTGTCGGAGAAGGAGACGTTTGCATGTCAGCGCGTAATTCAGAATTTGTTTCTGCATAAAACTTGTACCGATGTACAGAAAAATTTTTAGTAGAGTTTTAATCTGATATTTATAATCCTACAATAAGGATTTCCTCTGGTGAGCGATAATCTTGTTTTTATTGGGGCCAAAGACTGATTAGTACACATTATTTTATTTTTGCCATGTCTGCTGCATCTGGTTGTAGATGTACTGTGCAATAGATTGCGTGAAATCGTGCTGAGTTTGCGATGATCGCAAATATCGTAGGACGAGGCATAGTACGTGTACCTGCTTTTTCTCTTTTCGTTCTCCGCTCTGCTCGTCTAGGAAATTCATGGAAATCATCGTAACTGCTCTTCACTTTTGCCACTGCATGTTTTTAGATGATTTTTTCTTTTTTTTCAGATCTGAGATTTCGATGAACTCCCAGATAACTGAATTTTAGGTTTACATCTTCACAAGCTCCCACGCTCGCCGAGAAAAATCCTCCGGGATGGGAAACCAAAATTCCATCAGAAAACATGTATGGCAGTTGAAAGTAAATTACCGTACATGCAAGACGAAAAAAAGCCACCTTCAATGCTTTGAAATACAAATCTCTATTTGCTGTCCCCCCAATATGAATATTAAATTCAAAAAACTTCATTTTTGTCAGTGTTTACTTTTTTTATTCTCTGTGTTTTTGTTCGTATTTTAAATTTATGTCGCCTTCTGTGGACGCATTATTGCCGAGGTTCTGATCTGTTCTCAGAGCACACTGGGTATCATGCATTTGAAAATTCGATCTTCTTTGCATCCACTCTACACAGTGTAGGTAGTCTAGAACATTAAAAAACAATAAAACATAATCAACGAATGCGAAACTTAAGTAAAATCAGCATCGTTTTTTTTTTGGACGATGTGGCAATCTCGAAAGTCAGAACCTTGCAGAAATGTGATGGGTTCTTATTTCAAGATGATCTCGAAAAGGGCAAAATGTTGTCCCAATTCTCATCAGATCGTATCGAGGACATGTTATTTCAGGTATGAAATCATAAGTGTCCATCCAAATGTAAAATTTATAAACTTTAGAGACTTTTTGAAGTGGAAATTTGGCTGAAATAGCGCATTGTCCGTGTCTCACATCCAAGATAATCATTGTAATACTTACATTTATTCGCCTAATGCTGATCAAATACCCCAATAAAAATAACTCATAATTCACAAGACTTTTCATTGATGATGAGAGGTGCGGATTGATAGTGTGGAATAAGCATAATACGTGATCATTATTTAAACTTCTGTGTCTAAGTTTGTTTCGCGATCAATTGTATGTACGATGGTTGCATCACTGACTCGAAAAGCCTCTTCTAAACAATACAGAAGTACAATGCCGTTGGGATTATGTACACCTGACTCACTGTGAAGTCGGGTTCGAGAAAGCTCGGCTTACGCCTAATTATTTCCGTTTTGTTGCCCTGATAGCGATGAACAGATCCAGATATACAATACAGTACATGTTCGGGTTAGGTTTAGGTACGGTTGGGTGAGCTTTGAGGCGACCTGTTCGCGTTTAATTAAACAAACCTCGGAAATGTGGAATCTCTGGAATCAGGTGAGGGGTACTATTATATATCCCAGCAAGGAAAAGTGCGTTTAAGCCGAGGTTCGAAGGGTGCACCATTTTTATGGAGTACTACGAATACAGTGTTCTGTCCAAGTTTTGTTCAATTCAACGTCGGTGGTCTACTCACGGAAGTGTAATACTGTAATATTGAATATTAAGAAAACAATTTTCTTTCGAGCGATTAATTGATGATCTACACGTACCGTACTAGTCCGCGTTCATCGTTTTATTTGTTGTGCCATTCGAAAAGGAACAGTTCTGAAAAACTATATGAAAATTTACTAGAGGTCCCAGGAAGAAAAGCACTAATTTTTCAAACGATCATCCAATTTTTTTTCGATAGAGTAATAATTCCGACTTGTTCCAGCTTCAATTCTTGAGATTGATCACCAATGGTGATTCTGAATTATTCTAAAATGTTATCTTATGGAGCAAGTAGTATGTGTATATGGATAGTGTGGATAGACAACAATGCCACCTTTATTGCAAAAATCGAAAATTTTGAAGCCAATTCACGCGATGAAATAAAAAGTAATCGAGTTCCATCATCGTGTATTCCTCTCCGATGATTATTATATTCAAAAGTAGAAGATTATTATTTCCATGGGGAAAATACCATTCATTCCAGAAGTACAGCACGTGATAATTTCAACCTCGAAATCAGACCTACAGTAATATCCATTTAGTTCAATCGAGGGCCAGAAATGGGGGTAACTCAGAAACACCACTTCTCTTCAAGGCGATGATTTCGAATCATCGTACATACGAATTGAAAAGTGACGCAATATTGAGAAACTGCTGGATTTCAGTGCACGTTCAAATTTTGCGGATTGTTTCCTCATTTTTTTCCCCCATGATTTGACTCATTTTCGACAGGTATGAAGCTGCGGCTGCTGAAGCTCGAAATGTTCCGGGACCCTCAACGCGGGTTTTGCCAAATCCTCCGGTTTTGACGGACGAGGAATCTAGTGGACCAATTAGCGACAGAGACCGACAGATCTTATTGATGATGGCCCTGCAAAAATACTCACTGGACTACGAAGGTCTTTTGTTGCTCGTCGCCATCCAGAAGGTGCTGATGAACGTGGAAGAAACCGATCGGTGAGTCAGTTCATGGGTTCCTTCTTCTACGAGGTGGACTCGCTCCACAACGAAATTTAAGGGACCAGAAAGAAAGGAAAAATCTTCGCAGAGAACCCCTTTAAATGGAGAATAAGAGAACCCCTTGGGCCCAAATAAAAAATTGTTTTACAGTAAAAATTGTTGTAAACAAGATTGTTGTTCAGAGAGAGTCCATATGCAGTCATTCAGTGGAAGTTGAAAAGTTTTCGCTGACCTCAACACAATTTAGAATTCCGTACTCACAGTTTACAGCTGTTTTATAGCGTACACGGCTGCAAACGAATAATACATTTGCCGATCTTTTAGCGATGTTTTCGCAAAGACAACTGAAATTTCTACCTAAAAATAATTTCGGTTACCTTACATATGATATCCTTAGAATAAGTTATCCTATCAAGTGCGCTGTGCAGATCTGATCTTTTGAAAAAAGTTCACGAAACAATGATTCCACATGCAACGATAGCCTTTTTCAGTTTTAATTTAAAAATAAGTTATTCGCGGGTAAATCAAGGTCAGTGTCAAATTTTTGTGGTAAATGTAGGATATGCACTGTTGAGACTGGACAAATGAAGACAGACAATATGAGACTAGGCCAACATAAGACGCAGCTACTTCATTTGAGGTCAATTTGAGGCAGGGTCATTTAGAAACAGGGACAATTTGAGAGAGTTCAAATTAGAGACGGGGCGGATTAGAGATGCAGTATTTTCGCATATGGGAAAACGGTATTCACACTTTCGTCCCTATATTCAAAATTCCATTTTTGTGCAGTTTCAAATCACTGAATTCAACTTTTGACCTAAAAAAAACTCACTATTGTTCCTGTCACATAAGAAAGTTGATGACCTCCTATAGTACCTATACAATACTGTACTTGAGATTATATTGCATATGCTCTTAGTATTATTACTAAAATAGCATTAGCCTCGAATTTGTCTCTATAATTGTACGTCTCAAATTAATAAAAAAAAGTTTCTTGACCTAAATTGTACAAGTCTCAAAATGTTTCCTTCTCAAATTCATCTAAAAGTGTTTTTGACTCAAATTGCGCGCGTGTGTGTCAAAATATTTCCGTCTCCCTATGTAGTTGTGAAAGTCTCAAAATTTTTCTGTCTGAAATTAATCTAAAAACATGTTTTCCTCAAGTTGTACACGTCTGGAAACGGTTGGATTTGTAAAATTGTAGAAGTCTCAAAATGTTCGTGCCTCGAATATAGGCCCTGTCTCTAATTTACTGTCCTAGATCTCGGGAATGCATTGGCTGCTCAATTCCGGAGAAGTCCATATTTTCAACGGCATTTGAAACTTGATTGTGGATTATTAGTCAGTTTCAGAAATTTCTCACTACTTCGGCGTTTTCGTTTCTTTCTGTGCTTGAATATAGAGAAGTGAACGCGGCTTTGGTCGAGTTTGACGTGCTGGTTGAAGAGGGCAAAGCCTGCGATGTGGACCTGTGCCCCGAGCCAAGCCCAGCTGACGTGTCGGCGATTCCCGGTCCTTCAGCTCTGACGTCAGCTGTCAGTCCGGAACGTTCCATGCCAAATTATGCAGCTTTCATGGCGCAGATCATGCATGCGCAATTAGCAATGATGACAGCAGCCGCGGCAGCAGCAGCAGCTTCATCCTCTTCGTCCAAAGGCGATTCCGACTGACTTCCTGTGAGTTCCGGATGCGAAATCCCTTCCGGAATGGATGCCATCAGCATCTTCCTTCGACTCAATGAACCTAATAAAAAAAAAACAGAACAAATTCCTCTCGTAAAACAGGCCTATTTTGAATGCATTCTTCGGGCAGAGTTTAACCTGAAACGAAAAAGACAGAAACCTGAACACGTCGAAATAGTTCAGTACCGAATGAACATTCCACCGTCCATTATTGATGATTAAATTGTTTGGACTCACACTTGTTTTCAATAAAAATCGGATCCAGCAAAGTCTGAAGTTGTTTCGTCGTTTTATATATGCACAAAGGGGAGCATTTTCAAGAGCTTCACTTTCATAATTAGCAAATTGGTTTTCCAGAATCTAAACATTTATATAAATTGTAGTTTAGAGCTATATACAGCGAGATTTTTGAATTTTTGCTGCTGGCACCTTCATTCAAAACGATTCCTCATCACAAGAAGGAAAAAAAAAGAATTTGGAGAATATTTTGTGGCCACTGGCGTACTCATGTGTTGAAAGTATCGAGTATAGTATTTCGAATCTCTGATTTTGTGCCAAAATCAACATTCTTTGTCGATTTCTCATTCCATCCGTCCGAGACAAACATAATCGAAATTTCGACGACTCGCGAACGGAGTTGCGCGGATGCTGTGCTTGTATACCTTGGCTTTGAATTCCTGAGATGTTTTTTTTTTCGATATTTCCAACTGAGATCAATTGTGTTATAGGTTGCTGAGGGTAGCAATTATAGTATTATTTTAGGCACAAGCTTTAAAGGGGGTTGAATCACTCACGATCTCTTCGCTTTCGAAGATCGCATTATCTTGTGCACACGGGATCTCATATGTTTTTCCTTTGGTTCAAGGGATTGTAATTTATTGGCACATTTTGATGGTTTTTGTGTTTTTTGAACGAACGTCGTCGTTGACATGTCCAGATCACTGCGTCATCAATCTTCGTTGAGCAAGAAAGAAAGAAGTGTACACAGTCTATGCACTTTATGGTAAATATTTGTTAGCGGCTGTGCTTCAGAATAAGACTCGACTTTTGTGGAAATTTCGAGGTTCGTCCACTTGAACAGTACTGCGGATCAGTAAAACATTTTTCCTGGAGCCTACAAATATTAACCCCTCACCGGACAGAACCATTCTTCAGCATTCTTTTCAGAAGAACAACGGGAGCAAAATAACGGCACTCTCGCGAAAAGCAGAGCGGATGAGAAAATTTATTCAAAGCACGATTACGCAAAAATCAACAATGCGTTGAGACAAAGGCCCCGATTGTTCTAAGACTGCAAACAACCGGGAATATGAGCCTGAAAAAAACCTGTGCAAATTTTCTCATTCATCTGCGCATTCACTCTCCGAAGAAAGAGTTTGCGATTTAAAAAATGGTTTTTTCGAAGCTAAATTGGCGCAAAATTTCCTTGTCCTGCGCTTCGTACCTTTTCTTGTAAAAAAAAAATTGCAAGTGACGAACTCGTGCTTCCGGCGGAACAGAAGCGAACTCGATAGTCTATAGAGAAGTTGTTTATCCTATGTGTGGTCTCTTTGATTATTGAAAATTCTTCATCAAACAGTGTTGTCTTTGAATCAAGCGCGATCGTTTCTAGTCTTGAAGTCTTGCCAAAATTCGCTCGTCCGCGCGTTCCAACAGATGCAAATCGATTTTGTAAAATTTTGAGGGAATGGGGGAAAAGAAGAAAGAAAGAAACAGACGCGTTTGAATGTGGACGTCATCGCCTTCCTAACACGATCAGGGTTCTGTGTCAATTTCTCATCGCCATGAACTTGGATCTTTGCAGGATTTATAATAATTTTTGTTCCATGGGTATTTTTTTACGCGGTGTGGGACGCGAAACCGAGCGAGTCATTCGATTGGCGTTTTCCGGCTGCGCTGAAGCCAAGTGCGAAAGAAGCAAACCCGTGAAGCCGGATTTTGCGGTCGCTTCCCCGAGATTTCGCATTTCTTTCGAGGTGCGAAATGCATGAAAGTGATTCGGAAGTTGGGTGAGAATTTCGTGGGACGGATGATGCTGAGTTCTCCGGGAAGCAGTGGTCATGATCCGGCGACTGCTGCGATGTGCTTCAAGCCCCCGATAACGGGCAAAATGTTGCCGATGGACGGTCACGCTTTGCACAGGTTAGTTAATTACTGCAATAAGTAGAGTGAGAAAAACCACACACGTACCAAAAGAACGAAAAAAAAGGACCCCGATGCCTTAAGGGCAGCGAGACTCTCGACTCCTGAGCTGTGTTTAGTGGACCAACGAACTGCTGAGCTCCGAGCGTCGCCCGGAGGCCAGAAAAATGTCATAATTAAAAATAATTTACAGTACTGGTTTGTACAAAATACAGTGGGCAGAAAACATTTTTAATAAACTCGAGAACATTCATCTCGATCTCCCCGCCTGCTATAAGCACTTTGCAGAAACTACGTGATGTGTTTTCCACCTCGAAACATCTTCGCGGAGGCATTTCACTCGATCACAATCCGCGTTTCAGGAATTATTTTGCGTCTCAACTTCGACAAACCTTCATCTTATTCACACCCGGAAAAATTTTGAATATCCTTGTTTTTTTATTGCAGATTTTTTCAAATTATCAGTAAGAATAATGAAATTTCTAGTGTTGTCCGATTCTGCGCATTACGAGGGAGTTTTCTTCAAAACCGAACTTCAGAAAAAAAACATCCCTTTGCCATTAGAAATTGCACGACCATTTTTTCAGGAATTCATTATTTGAATGAAGGTTGGTCTTGCTACAGTTGTGTCATTCCAAATTACAACAAATGTGACTCGTCGACTGTCAACATCGCAATTTTACCGCGCTGATACATGATAAGTTCCTCCTTTTCTGTAAGATTTTTTTCAGCCTGCACAAAAAAAATTCAGCGTTTGTTGCAGAACTTCAAAAGACATTCCGTTTCTCGAATACTGTATTTGATTCCCTTCTTCGAAAAGTAGCGATTACCTCTCGCAATGTTTGCTTAGGCTTCACGATCTGGAGATCGTGAAATGGAACGAATGACTCTCAGTGCAATTTCATCCATCTCGAGCAATTTGCATGTTGTTCCTGCGTTTCTTCACAATTATATGAGCAATTTAAAGATGAAAGAGAAGCAAAATTACGAATGCTTCTCAACGTGGGAATCCCCAGCAGCAACGAGAAATGATGAAATCATACAGTAGGAAGCATATCGTTATTTGCTCCACGAATTTATGACCGATTCCCACTTCTGTTCATGACGTGCTCGTGCTGATTTAAAAAGGAATTAGTCGGAAAAAATGTTCCGAGGTGAACTGGACACATTGCTTGAGTCTGTGTCGGTCTGTCGGAAAAAAGTTTCTTGAATTCTCAGAAAAATTAAACTGAAAAATTTTTTACGAAGAAAATGCATTTCTTCATGGGCAGTAGATTATGGCTTCAAGTATCAAAGCACAACTTGAAGTACCTGATGAATTTCAAGGTTTATTTGTTTCCTTTACGCCTCAGCTCAAAGTCTACGACTTCATTGATCATGGGAAAATAAGCCATAATTTCGCTTGTTCGCAGTACATTATGTTGCTCACGCTCTGTTTAATCAAGATTGAGAGGTTCAAACTAATGCTTTCCGTTGAAATGGTTCAACTCCACGAAACGTACTTGACAATGACGGATTTCGGTGTTGCGCTTTTATTCAAGTACTTTCTAGCGATGCTAAAAAAAAGCAGAAAATATATGTCGTAAGAAAATTGTACCTGAGCTTATATCAAGAACTTCTAAATGTTCGTATTTCTCGTGTAAGATGAGAATCACATCGAGGCAGGATTTGTGATGAATTTTTTTTTCATGATTTCCATTGCTTTCAATAAACTCGAAATTCAATGAAACTCCGCGCGTCTTTTGTGCACTCTGAAAAATCAAGCCAAAAAAATTGTGCTTTGCTTACGATCCTTTTTACTCTTCAGTACAGGATGTGATTTTGAACTTCCATCAGATAAACTCATGTGCTTCGTGAAAAAATATCATTTTAAACTAAGGAAAAATAGCGAAAGAGTATCAATTTTCTATAGACGAGGTCGTTTTTATTGATGACTCAAGCTGAGCGCGCGTTTAGCTCGAAATCTTCTCCGAAAGATGAACTTAGTCTCCGCATGAATTATTCAATTCTTTCGAATAATTTACAAATACTGGAACATTAAAAGGCACACTTTTTCCTCTCAAAAGAGCGGAGTATATTTAAATCAACACTTTGAGCTAGGCCGAACTGTGTTGCATTATCGTATCTGATGAATACGATGTAGGACGGTGAGTTTTCATGATTCCATTCTGGTTTCTTCGATGCGTTCATCTATTTCCGATATAACATCCCGTGCGGAAAAATATTAACAATCCAAATGTCTTAGCTTTCCTCAGTTTTCTGAAAATTTGCTTGCCAAAGTACTGTATACTAATTTCACCCGTCACCATGCCGGGTTGAAATCCTCTGATGAAATGAACGATTTTTTTCTGCTTCGGAACTCGTGTTGTGCCTCACATTCGACGTGCCGTATTTTGAAAACTGAAAATGCTATCATTGCAAATTGACAACTGCGATACTGAATAAGTATAATAGCCTCATTTCCCAATTGAGTACAGTACTCTACTTTCTGTACTTGCATGAAAAGTTTCCGAACGCAGGAAAAAAATCGCAATGAAATTATCTGAAACCTGTCTACAACTGGAATAAATCATTTCTTCGACATTTCATGAAAATTATCTGAAAGTAGATTGACGAAATTGGAACGAAATGACGTCATCAACTTTATGGAGTTGAAACTAAAGCATGCTAAATATTTTCATCGCCGGAATTATCAACGGTATCACCTATGTGGGCTATTGATTTTAAATCAAATTAAACGGCTAAAGTTAAACTTCATAGCGATTATTTGATTTTCTTAATTCCATCTGGAAACTATTTCGTTAACCACACGCACGGACGCCGAATTTCGTCATTGACCTGACATCAAGCTTTATGATCCGATGAGTCCAATCCTATATTGAACCTGAGATAAACTAGATTTCCAGCACGACCTAACGAATCAAGTCCGAGAATCTCTTCGACCTACCTAATCTGACCCAACCAAAAAAACCGAATGAAACCGTACCATATTAGAGGATACAGTATTTTCGTGCCATTACAATAATGGGATAAGAACCACTTTTTGTCGAGGATCATTAGGATATCAGGGATGTCGCCAATTGGACAAATAACTGAAGGTTGTTAAAGTCACAAGTTTTGAAAATAAAAGTATTCCTGTGTTTTGAATACTATACATTCGAAAACTGTCCAAAACAGGGTAATCCACTTATTTTGTTTTTGGTGTCGCATCATTTTGCCGGAACTTGAATTGAAACTATTTAGCAATGCACTCAAAATATTTTCCGTTAACCTATAGGATATATAGTCACTCAATCAAGTTTACTAAAATTTGTTGTATAAAACTTAATAGTGTCTTTCTTCGGAACTTGCGAATCTGATTATTTTGAATGCACGATTTTCTATATTCAGCTTTTCTCGAAAAAAATTATGTGCAAATTAATGTTCCAAAATCTTGGAAGTGCTCCAATTGAAAATTTGATTTTCACCAGTATCTTTTCATGGACAAAAAAAAATTGGCTCTTTTTTTAACCTTAAGAAATACTGCGCGCTTCTATGATTCAGGATTTTCTAAATCATCTGATTCCATGATTTGACAAATATTAACGGATATTTTCTTGTCTAATTGTGAGAATATAGAAGCTTTCTCTTTCGTCAGACTCAACACTGGATTTCCCCGTGAAATGCGCAACTCTTGATTTGAAAGTACCCTTCTTTGAATGTAGGACGCAACCCTTGATTTGAAATTTTTTTAATTACTGTATTAATATTTATAGATGAACATTTTAAGATTTTTTTTAAGATAAAGGCTTTCTCATTATTGAGGCTCGACACTGTCTTTCACGGTGACTTGCACAAACCTTGATGGATTGATTGAATGTAATGTAAAATCCCTGCTTTCAGCCTATCTGCAAGAAAAGAGCATGCAGTAAAACAGTGATGATCCATAATTTTACATTTCTAAAATTTAAATATTGCAATTCGTTCAATTTTGGTTTAAATGGTTATTGCTAAAACTGTTCTGCACATCTTTTTTCCGACACTTATCAGACGCAATTGACTCAGCAGTCCTGCAGCTTTTATTTCTTTGAAATTCGTTTAAATTTTCAAGGCAGTTTTGTTTTTCATTTTTAAATTTGAAATGCTGCTTGCCTCTAGGATGTAGTATTTTTTAAAGCGTTGATTCAACTCGAAGATTTGAGAACTTCAGCAATGTTTTTAGTTGAACGAAAGATAAAAACTTTTTCTTCTTCAGACTCAACAGTGTTTCTCGCGGTGACTTGCAAAACCCCTTTATTTTAATGCACTGTAAAATACCTGCCTTCAGCCTTTTGCGTGAGCGGAAAGAGAATGCAATAATGCAGTGATGATCCAGGATTCTTACATTTTTCGGATTTAAAAATTGCAATTCATTTAATTTTTTTTCTTTTTTCAAAGGAAAGGTTATTTTGCTCGAAATAATTTAATAAGAATGTTTTATTTACAATAAAATAATTATTTACTCTCCCAATAAATAATTTTTAATAAGCCATTGCTAAAAATTTTCTGCGCATCCCCCGTTTTCCGGCAGGTATCACGCGCAATTGGCGCAGCAGTCCAGCAGCTTTTTCGCAGCAGCCGCTGCCGCAGGCATGGGTTTGTTCCCACCGCGCCCGACCCTGCTTCCGTCCCATCTCCACGCCGCAGCAGCATTCTCGCCCTTCGGAACCCCCCTCTTGCGCCCAACACCCCTTCCGCACCCGGGTCTCGTACCCTTGTCTCAGCATCCGTCTCTGCAACACAATCCCCACCTCGGTGCAGCACCGCCTGCACCGCCGCCGTCGTCAGTGCCGCCACAGCCCGCCGGGCAGCAGCTGCCGCTCTCGCAACCACCATCACAGGCGCCGCCGCCACCGCCGCCAACATCGCAGCAGCCGCCGCCGGGGTTCCTCTCGCCGACATTGCACCAGCAACATTTCGAGCCCCAACCATCGAGTGTGAGAGGTGGTGGTGGTGGTGGTTCTTCGTCCTCGGCGTCGACACCATCGTCGTCGTCGGCTGCTGCTGCTGGTGCCTCGCGACCATCGACGAGTAAATCAGCAGAACAGCACCACTTGCAGCAGCAACAGGCAGCCGGGGGCAAGAGCAGTGGAGCACCGTCAAGACGGACGCCGCAATGTTCGCGATGTTTCAACCATGGCTTGAATATCGAGAAGAAGAATCATCAGCCATATTGCGAAAATAGGTTTTGTCCCTGCGAATTGTGCGAAACGACGGCGGAGAGACAGGATAAAATGGCGGCGCAGATTTCCAAGCGCCGCTCCCAGAAGAACGCCATGTCTCAGGGCAAGCAGCTGGACCTGTCGCAACCTTCGACCTCGAAAGGGCTTCCGCAAAGTGAGTGCAATTTTGCGTACTTTTAAGGTAAATTTACGAGGGTTGGTTCACAAGGTTTGAGACGCTTCGAAATAGATCCTAGGAGTTTCAACAATTCCAAACAAATTTTTTTTTTGTTAACTGGCATAGCCCCATGATTTGGCAACACTTACGATCAGTTCAACATACTCTCTGCTTCTTTCAATGCTTTTCTTCATGCGATAAATCCAACGATCAAAGCAGTGCCAAACAAATCAAGTTCTGTCTGTTGATTTATGCTCTCTGTGCCCTTCTGGCTGTTCTCAGCAGGGAAGAAAGACGTGAAAGGGATTAATTTTGAGGACAGCGACAGCCTCATTTTTGGAGAACAGCTTATAATGAAGTAACGGAACTCGATTTTTGGCACTGGTTTGATCGTTGGATTTATCGCATGAAAAACTGCATTAAAATCAGCCGAGAGTATATTGAACAGCACTGAAGTGTTGCCAAATGATGGGGCTATGCGAGTAAAAAAAAATTCTAATAGTTGAAACTACATGATCGATTTCAAAAAGTCCCAGAACTTACGAATCAACCCTCGTATATTATTTGCGCAGTCTGCAGGGTTTTCTCGTCAGAAAAATGTGAATGACTTATTCACGCGGTCGTATTTTATTGGCATAATATAAATTTCCCGCGCTGAAACGTGAAGCATTTGGCGAGAATATCGCAGAACGAGAACAAATTTTACTGCCGTGAATCATTCATTCATTCGCTAATTCAGAAATGAAAGTAATGAAAAAAGTTTTCGTTATTCCCTCTGTGAATAATCAGCATACTGTTCAATCTTTGTACTCCTGTCCGACTGCTTTGATCTCAGTTTTATTATCCGAGCGGCTCGTCACTTTGTACAGGAATCTGACACAGAGCTTTGCATCATTTTGTAATACAGCACTGTACGACTTTCAAGACTGGTCACGGCACGAACTTCTACTTCTACTTATAAAACGTGACCAAGTACAATCGTATTTTAAAAGCATTCCCATCCGTACTCGAATCTTTTCGAAGACACAGTTTTTTGAATGTTTCAGGAATCATAATATTCTTATTTCCAGTAAAATGTTTCAATTTTCGTGAATCCCGTCACTAAACGCTTTTCCTTCGTTGGGTTTCGTTAAAGTTCGAAAAAATGCAATCCCAAGCCTAATAATGTGTTGCCTTGCTAAACAGACCGATACTCTATCGAATACTCGATACTCTATCGAATATAGGTAAAACCAAGAGTATAGATGTTGAAATCGATTCGAACTAAATTCTTGAAGAAGAACCGAATAAGAGAAGTATCATGAAATTTGCTTTTAGAAAAAGGACGAAGGCACCCGATAAACGGGAAAACTAATGTTCAACTACATGGCGAATATCAGAAGTGAAATAATCCCGCCAGCCAAATTTATCGCATCATCTATTGTATTTTTCGTCTACGTGAAGTTTTAAGCATTTTCGGGCAGCCTATGCCTTGACAATTGATTCAATCTAGATAACGAGAAATATTTATCCACACATTTAAATTATAAGTACGGGGAGGGGGGGGGGGCTACCTCAAAATAAATAACCGGGCATGGCCTAACACTACCTGCAATAGGTGATACACGAACACCGCAATAATTACCTGCATGATTTCTTGATGATTGGCAGGAAGACGAAACATAGATCATAAAATATCATTGGAATCCTTGAAAGTGTTTCCAGTCATTAATTTTGAACATTTCGTTGTAACAAATAATTCAGCACAACAATCTCTTCCTGAAGATCACGAAAAGTTTGTTGTAACGAGATTTCACTGTATTTTTCCTTATACTGATTTATTTTCTGACGCGAAAATTGTTTATCCGTCATTAATTTTGAAAATGTATTCGTGAAAAGTGATTAGGTACAATAAACTCTTTCTGAAGATCACAAAGAGTTTTTTGTAACGAGATTTCACTGTATTTCTCCCTATACTGATTTATTTTCTGATGCAATAATTGTTTCCAGTCATTAATTTCGAACATTTGTTTGTAACAATAAGTGATTAAGTACAACAAACTCCTTCTGAAAATCTAAATAAATTATTGTTATTTCTCCGCACACTGTACTGATGCATACCTCGTTTTTTTTTTTCTTTTTCCTTTTTTGGGTCGCTGTTTCTTCTTCCCTGTATACAGTGGACCATTCACCGGCAAAGCGTCCGCGGTCGCTGCCCGAAAGGGAAAAGCTACTCGCTCAGTTCATGAAGTTTATGGGCACGCACGTGGATCTCTCCTACTTTCCCCTCTTCGTCGCCGTCTACAATGAGATCGGCAACTTCAAAGACTTCGAGTCGGAACTGGAACGCGCAGAACGCGAAATGGGCATCTTGGAGTCCGAAGCCGAATCCTGCGACATCCCCTTGTCCGTCAACACGCCCATCAAACCCATAGCCACTCGAGCCACGAGTGCTGCGGCGGCTTCAGCAGCAGCAGCAGCACCGCCACCGTCGTCGTCGCAGCCGCCACTACAACAACAACCACCAGGGTCGACACAGCAGCACCACCAACACCACCACCACCAACCACCGCCGCCGACACAACCCCAAACATCGCCCCCGTCGACAGCAGCTGCGTCGTCGTCGTCGTCGTCGTCGCTGTTGACGTTACCGATGACGAGAGCATCGTCCCCTTCGTCGTCGTCGTCGTCTTTGTTGGGGATGATGTCACAGCCTGGAACGTCGGCCCACCATCACATGATTGTTCACCCCATCCCGCACCTTCCGCACCCAACGGTGACGACTATCATTTGAGGTTTTCTTTTTTTTTTTTTTTCGTTCTCTGTTTTTTTTTGTGTTGTTTTGTATCTCTTGCCCGAGTGTACAAAAATTTTGAACGAAAAAGAAGGATACGTTCCTTGACCGGAAACGCTTATTATGAATACAAATGGCTGGTTTATACTTCCGGCGGACGACGTCTTGGTCGAAGACACGGATTCCTCATTAATTGACAAAAACCTGAGACGCAATACGGTGATGATGAATAACGAAATTCACTGAGTTTTTGCCTTCTGTTTAATTCCACACAGATTCAGTCATAGTATTTTATTTTAAAAATCGAATTATATCTGAATATCATGAAATTATAATTGAAAAAGTGCTCAGAACGTATGAAGAATACACGATCTTGAAAAATCCCGGACGTTGAATTTAACAGAACAATCACAATTTTTTTTATCAACGACCACGGCATGAAGAGTGTATGGAAATTCTCACGAAACGACTATTATGTCAATTTTTGTGTATAGTCTGCATAATTTGGAATAGGGCCAAAATCTTATTCAAAAATCTACGGAAACTCCCGAAGGAATTTTCTGAGAAGAGCATTTTGCAATGCGTTTATTTTACAAGTAAGCATAAGAGTACGAATTATGCAATCTGCAAAAGTGAGAAAACACCTGGGACCGTTTTCTCCAGCTATAGTTTTTTTTTTCTTTTTACGTGACTTCCTAGAGTCACAAATTTGTGATAACCATTGGAAGGTCCAATTCAATTCACATGCGGTGAAACGGAAGTGGACATTGATTAATTTTTCGTTTCAAATATGAATCAAGTATTGTATTTGATACAATTTTTAACGATAAAACTGTTCATGCTTTTCGGTTCACCCTACAGTTGTGGAATAAAATACAGTATCAGGAACCGTAGAGCAAATGTGACTTAACCTTATATATTTACTAGGAAATTTATTTTCAGTCCTTTTTACGGCTGAAATGTTTAAATTTATGTCGTCTCATGTTTTTGTGAATATTAGACCCAATTAGTTCAAAATGTGGAATTGATCGTGCGTTTGTGAATTTCTTTTTTTTTTACTAAAGTACCAACGCGCCCTGATTCTTAGACGCTCATCTTAATTTTTGAGACTAGAAATTTTGCGAAAAGGCAATCCCAATAGAAAATGAGCAACGCAGTTTTCTGTGACGCAAAAGTAATTATTTTGCAGGGAAAAACGCTATAATTCTAAGTAGAGTACTGAAAAAAAATTATCCATTTCGTTAATGTTCAACCATTTTAAATGCTAGTTTGATATGACCCTAAATGCATACCGAATTTTTAATTATTCCAGTCTCTGCCAATTAATATTTTTAAACTTGACTGTAAGTGTTGCGAATATGACGATCGCCAGAAATTTTCAAAATTTGCAGAAGTAAAGTATCCTAATCTAATATGACTTGCACTCCATTTTTGCGCGTAATTGTTAAAGTAATTTTTTTGGATCGTACCTGAGTGAAGTACGGTAACTCTTACAAAAAATCCTAAGCATTTCAAAGTCTTTATGCATGTACAGCAATTAAAATATTCCATTCTGACGAGGAGGAAGAAGGTCTGAAATAATTGTTGAAATCTCTTGCTTAGTTTCTCCTTAGATATACCGTGATTCCGACCAAGGCGTCGTTTATTGGGAGAAGAGCCGATTGTTACGTTCTATTTCGCGGAGGCTCTTGTTTTTTTTTTATGGGTGTAAAATGCCAAATTTGTGTCTGGCTAACCCAACAAGAAAAAAAAATCTCCAGCGAAAGAAACTCGATACGCTTTTTTTGTTGTTCTGGGGTCAGAATACGCTTAATTTTCTGGTTTATGAAAAAAAAAACCGAATACGCTTGCGCACGATGCGATGCGCACTGCTCTTGTTTGAAATGTGATTCCGCAACTGCGAATTGGTGAAAAAAATTGAAGTGTGTGGATGCTGTTGGGTAGGGTTTTTTCCGATTGTTTGAGGTCTTTTTTCCTTTTTTTTTTTTTTTTTTGTGCGCGTGCATGCTCGCAATGGAAGCTAGTGGAGATTGAGAAATGAAAATGGAGTGCAACTGCATCATGACTCGGCTTTGTTCAGCTCATTTACTGTTCTCTTCCCTCCACCACGACCATCACCTACTTTTTCTTTTCTTGCCCCGCTTTTCGAGCTCTTTTGAAGCCCATGCATCTTTTCATGTCTCTTTTCTGCTTTTTTAGCGTTTCGGATGCAACCTATTTGCATTTTTACAGCTCTCGGGGTCGTCAAGCGTCATTCAGAACAGTCGTCAAAAGCGGGGTTTTACTGCCTTCCGTTTTTTACGACGGTTCTGCGGAAGAAGAAGAGGCTGTGAGTACAGATGAGATTGTCTCGTGTCCCTCGACCCACTCTCGTGATTCACAGTCCGAGGTGATGCGTGTGTGATCTCTCTTCGCCACTAACCTTTTCAGGCAAGAAACTTCGTGTAGTGGCCACGTCGGGGGCTTTCCGCAGACTGCTCAACAAAGTTTGCACAGCTTCATTTAAAAAAAAAAAAAAGCAACCAGAAAGTCATCCGTCAGATTACAATACAGTAATGGAATATTCAAAGGGTGAATAATCGCTTGACCTGAGCGCGGAAACTTGCAGCACCCGGCGGCAGAAGATTTCGTAATCTTGACAAAGTAACTGAAAATTGTCATCAGTCACGGTGGATATTTTCGCTGCATCATTTACCTGTGGAGCCTTTGTATCATAATTTACTTGCAACTGTAACATTATTCGGGAGTAAACAGGTACAGTACTTGATTAAAACCATGAGCCTGAAATGGACTGTCAACTGTTTTTTTTTTTGCCAATGCAATGCTTGGCCTTGCGTGTTCCCACGGAAACTCGGATAATTTGAGGAAGACAAAAAAATGAACTAATTTTCCCATTGTATTCTTCTAAGATAAAAGAATTGTGCAGATTGACCTGTGGAGTGTTTTCTAAAGAAAATTTCTGCAATTCACAAAGACAGAAATGGACGCAGAATTTTTGTAGTGGATCACCCGGTATGATGATCAGTTTTTGTATCTCATGCATTTTCATAGTTCATATCACTTTTTTCTTAGCATCTGAGAGGAAGATAAACTTTGTCAAATCTCAATAAGCGCACCGATAGATAAAATCAATTTATGAAATTTCTTTCAATTTTCTGCGTTCCCCTTTTGAAGCTGATTTGATACAGTGACTTGGCAGATGTTTAATATTCGCCAGAAAATATTTGAGGCAAACAGTGAACTGTGAAAAGATTCAGCTTCTTGAATTATTTTATGGGGATAATGTTCCCGCCGAAGTGCAATAGTTGAAGCCATTCAACAGAGACGTAGCAAGTACTGCTTTTTAAAACTACAATACTGTACATTGGAATGTACGCCACGTTTTGAATCTTGATAATTTATTGAAATTTCAAGCATTCTCTGCAGGAATTTTATTCTCGAAGTACCTGCTTGACCCCAGTCGTAGTCTTAACCGTTCGAACTACTGAAGAATTCGAATTGCTCAGGAAACTCAATAATCCCGAAAGATAAGAAGGAAACTATAAGAATTGAAACACATGAAAAAGCTGCAAGTATCGTTGAATAAAAATTTCTGGGCCGTACGTCGAAATCGTTATGACTGAGGTGAGAAAGCACAGACACGAGTTGTCAAGGGTGGGATAATTTAAGGTTGCACTAAAGGGATGGAATGCGCTGCTCTTCATCATACTTGATTTCATTCTTTAGCAGATGAGAATTGAATGAATGAAGGATTGGCATTTGTTCGGAATTCAAAGATCCGAACCCGAGCAAGAGAAGGAATCGGTGAACCGGGTATTTTCAGCCTGTAGCCTTGGAAACTCGGGGGCTAGGACGAAAACGTGGGTCGTTAAACTCAGTTGCTTGGCAGAACCCAACTGGCTCCAGCCGTCGTCTGGGTTTCTGGGGCACGTTGAGACACGTTTGCGTCAACTTTTCTGGGTTCAGAGCGAGGGTCTCAGTAGTTCAGTACCCGCTGGAAGACGCGACACGGCATCCCGACTCGTGTTTAGGCTCACGCCGAACCCGCTGCTGAGAATAAACTCGGGCCAACCTTCTCATAAATGCTGCTTTTATTATATGCATACCACTCATTGCGATAAGTGTAAAAAACATATGTATAATAACCGAATTTAATAAAAACGCATAAATTTCCAGCACTGGGCTCCGTGAGGCTCCTATATGTACTTTTCAAAGGTCCCGTGAGAACTTCCCAGGAAATAAAAAGGAGAGAAATAAAAAAGACAAGTATTACACTGTTACATCCAGGATTGAGAAGTCAAGTTCCCGAGGAATACCCGAAGGATTGTATTAACATATTTTATGGGTTGAAGAGCTTAAACAAAATGTTTTAATTTATTGCGAGCCAAAATTTAGTACTGCGATGGCAATTCTTAGTAATGGCTTGGAGGTACACCGCAGTACCTCACACTCATACCTTTGAATATGTTCTCCGCCGAAAAAAATGCATTGAATGACTGTTTTGGTTTTAGAAAATGTGCATTTGACATCCGAAATATGTGAGGATTCAATGAACAATAGCTATCGCACTCTAACCCTCATTTCGAAAAAAAAAAATTTCTCGAAATGAATCGTCAAAAAATGTCAAAAGTGTATCTCGCGCAGAATGTGCACTATTTTCAATAATACTATGCATAAAATGTATTGCAAAATAGAATAAAATGAGAGACCTCACGAGGATCTTCAAGTCTTGGTGTAATGCCATTATTGGAAGCAGATGCTATTTTTTGGATGCCTTAGATTGAAATACTCTATGCTGGAAATCTTTTCAGTTGTGTACCAAAGAATTGAAATGATCCAATACGAGAAATCGTGACCATTTTGTGAATACCTTCGTAACTGCGAAGAAAATTTTTGCACTTATTTTCCTGTGATTTTTTTTGGTAAGCCACTCAAACAATCATTCATTCACCTGCAGCAGAGTCTCTCAGACATATCCGCATCAGTTGCCAAATTAAAAAAAAATCAATCTGAACAGGACGAAAATACCTGCGTGCCTCATCAGAAACTTGTATGATGTCTGGAAACATATCTTCTGACTGCATTCCGCATATATTAATTCAGGAAACATTGTATTCCTCTACATATCACACGACGATTGGCAGGATAAGTAAAGCGAAGAAACACGGAAAAATATAATTTTTCAAATCATTCGGAATTTTCAACTTATGTCATACGATCTTGATACACATTTTTGATCAACACTGACATGGTGCATGATTCTTTTCCTCTTGCTTCATGACTTTTTTCACAAATGCGCATGCTGCTGGTCAATACCTTCTATAAAAGTACTGGTACACAAACAAAACTGGATGAAGAGCTCAGCCTAAATGGACCTTCTGTTCGATTTTCTAAATTTACTTTCGTGTTAATTCTCCTAATCCTGATGACATCCATGCTGACAGTGAGGAACTTATTATACACACCCTCAAAAAAACTTGAAGCAACATTTTCTCAAAATGGCCGCATTTATCTGGATGAAAGTCGCATTCAGATTCTTAAAAAATTGTCATTAATGATCGAAGTCATCGGTTCAGTTCGACGACGTCATCTTCAAATAATTAGATTGGATTTTTCCTTTTGAATTTGCCATGATCGCTTTTGACGGTTCGGAACATTCAAAAATCTTCGAACGGAAATGAAGCTCTGTAGGTTCAAGTGAATAAAAGAAGCCTGAAAAGGAGATGTTATTCGATTCATGACATCGAATAATCTTCTGAATGTCGCATAGGATTCGCATGATAATTCATGAAGGAGAAATATTGTGACGCTCGAACCTGTCAGCAGTACCCCAATGAATTATGCGGTACTTCCAAATCTTGTACTGTACAGTACAATCCTTCGAAATAATTCATCTCAACTAAGAAGGCCAGCGCGAAGGAATGGTGTTGCGTGAATTAAGAAACAAACTGCATGACTGACTTGCAGCTTCATGTACTGTAATTCAGAATTTTAACATGCCTCTGATTCCAAATTAAATTAAATAATTGAATGCGTAATAAAAAAAAGCGTAGAAGGGTCCCGAAAGAAACAGAGTAGACGCAATTAATAAAAATCTTAATCTTAATTTGTATATATTTTCTGCATTCGAGGAGATTCGTGAGTTCTGTTGTAGAAACATGTTTTTCTGCGCAGAAAATTGTATGGTTTCAAAAATTCTTTGATCGTTCTTGAAAAACGCTCGAGACTGAAGAAGTCTCTGATTTAGACGAGAAATTAAATTTTTCTTGTCCAAATCTTGATGAGAAAATTTCATTTAATGTCGTCGTTGAAACAAGATTTCACCTAGAAGTGAAAACGTAACCCAACACACTCTTGAACAAAACTTAAAATTTGAGGCGCCTATTTCTCAGAAACAATTGAAAATGACTCGTTTGTTCATAATGACTGCTTCAGAATCTCAACATTATTGCAGTACAGGTTTCCTGCCATTATAAAACTCACCAGAAAGATGACTGCATCCCTGTTTTTTGAATCGTTAAACGTACTTTTTTCTTTTAAGAGAACAAGTACAGGACGATGGAATGATCGAAACAACCCGGCTTTCAGATTCCGGCATGGACTCACGTACGCGATGCCCGCGAGTTAAAAACCAGACTATAACTCTTGCGATTACCTATTTTATTTCGATGACTATACATTTCAGGAACAAGATCAGTACCGCTTAAATAATTTAGATCCTTTATTACGGCTTTTTCGTGCTTACAATTTTTACTTCACAAAACTGGGTTGTGTGGCAATAACCATCAGTTGACGCTTCGGGCACTTCGCGGTGCTGATGAGCGTTTTCGAACAGGGAATTCATGGTACCCAAGACCTTGCCTACTGTATACAGTACGTGAAGTATTCCATTGTCGGGAAATCAGCAGTACTTCATGCTTTAAAAAAAATCAATTCTTCGTGTCGTTGCAGGATTTTATTTCTTCAGAAGCCATGTTGGGCACAATTAAAAAAGTTACAGGAATATCTCTCAATATTTTACTCGAAAGTTCTCCGAATTATTCTGCAGTATAGAGATTTGCCATCGTGGCGATGTAAGATGAAGGTTTTTTTTTTAATCCATTCCATTCCACCGTCAGCAATCAATTCTATAAATTATGACCAAGCCGTCAACAAAACCCAACATAATTTATACAAAACAAATACGTACAGTATTATGACCAACAAGTGCCCTGAAAAGAATCCAGTTCACTCCTTTGAAATGTTATGTTTTTGTCAACACGGCTTTTCTCCAGCACGATTTGTATTCATAATTTCTCAAAATTCATCTGTTTCTCAGAAACTACAGATTTTTCCCGCATTCGAAGGCCATAATTGCGTAACACGTTCAACGTTCGACTGTCAAGAAACATTTGAGGTAAGTTTAAATCCCAATTAATGAATGGTTCTTGTTCACATTTTTTTCATTTTAGATCTACCTTTATATAGTGGAACCTGGCAAATGTGTAAAAAATATTTTTGTACATTTTTTATATTTTTGACATTTTACTTCATGCCTGAACTACAACTGAAATTTGATATCTTAATCTTCATCTTCAATCATTACTAAAAAAGATTAGTCCTTGGTGATCAGAAGTACTTTTTTTTTAATGCATATTTTTACATGGCTTTATCGCCCAGAATCCCAAGGTGATACTCCATGATGTGTACATAGAAATACACACTTGTATACTGATGTATGTAAAAATGAGCGGTTGGAGAAAAGCACGTCGTACACATATTGTTTAAAGGTACACGAGTACAGTATTCTTCATAGTAAAAGGAATTTACCTACCGCAGTGCTTCGTGCATGTTTTTCAGCTCTGCCAAAAATTTTCGCGGTAAAGATTTCCTTCTCAAGAAACAAGCGTAAAAAAAATCACCGACCAGACTATCCGTAAGGTAAATCGCTGTGAAAGTTTCGCCATGCAGGATGAAAGGATCGTCGCGCAGGGAAAAAAACAATCGGTGGTCTTGTATAACTTTGCGAGGCAGTTAGTTGATACCCATGATGGGTTACGGTGTGGGGGAGTGGAGTCTGAGGGAACAAGAAAGGGGAAGGAGGAAAAAAAAAGAAAGAGCCGTATAATCCCTACCGCGTGGGTAACATTATCGGACAAGGAAAGGGGTTTCGGAGAACAGGTACCGAAACCTGGTCTTGCAAGAGAGTTTCCTAAAACAGAAGTCCATGACGAGAGACCCACAAAGGTCTTCAAACTTCGTTGTAATAGGAATAATATTTTGGGGTGAGATAAGATCAGGTTTGTCTGGGTACCCGGGACGGGTCGTTGATTCTTGATTGCATGGAGAGAAAAAAACATTTTCGTCTCGGGTCGGACAACCAAATATGGGATAGTAATCTCTAGTGACAAAGCTGATGCTGCTGCTCTAAACTGGACGATTCCTCATCACAAAATATCCAGAAAAAACTACTGTAATATAGTTTTTGAAATTAAAAACAACAAGATGATTCACTTCACGCGGGTTTCCGCTGATTCATCGTATTCGCCGTATATTGCACATGCGTCCTCAGTTCTACACTTTTCTTGGCAGTCTTCATTTGCATACCTGCTGCTTATTGCGGAGATCACTGGGAAATCCGTGTTGAAAATAAAAATATAAGAACAAGACTACTGGTGGATTTTACGCATATCTCTGTCGCACTATTACCAAAGAGTATTTTTTGTAATGATTGATAATGGAGATTGAGATTTCAAATTCCAGTCGTAGTTCAGGCATGAAATAAAATTTAAAAAATATAATAAAATCTGCAAAAATATGTTTTACACACTTGCCAGGTTCCAGTATAAAGGTAGATCTCAAATGAAAAAAAAATTATGAACAAGAACCATTCATTGAGTGGGATCTAAATTTACCTCAAATGTTTCTTGACAGTCGAGCGTTGGGTTACGTAATTATGGCCTTCGGATACGGAAAAAATCTTTTGTTCATGAGAAACAGATTAATTTTGACAAATAATCAATACTATTTGTGGCGGAGGAAATGTGTGTATACAATGAACTACACCTTAACTTA